TATGCCTTACTGTTAAAGTGTACAGCTGAAACTTATTGGATTTCGTTAACCAATGTCACCATAAAAATAATTAATTAATTTTTTAAAAATAGAACTACCTTATGACCCAACAATTCTACTTTTGGTTATTTATACAAAGAAATCCAAAATAGTAATTCGAAAAGATATATGCACCCCTATGTTCATTGCAGCATTATTTACAATAGCCAAGATATGGAAGCAACTTAAGTGTCCATCAATAGACCATTGATTAAAGAAGAGGTAGTACATATATATAATGGAATATAACTTGACCATAAAAAGGAATGAAATCTTAACCAATTACAACAACATAGATATAGACCTAGAGGTTGTCATGTTAAGTGAACTAAATCAGAGACAGACAAATACCATATGATCTCACTTATATGTGGAATCTAAAGAATAAAATAAACAAACAAACAAAACAGAAACAGACTCATGGATATAGACAGCAAACTGATGGTTGCCAGATGGGAGGGCTTGGGGCGCTGGGTAAAAAAGGTGAAGGGATTAAGAACAAATTGGTAGTTACAAAATAGTCACAGAGATGTAAAGTACAACATAAGAACTACAGTCAATAATAATGTAATAATTATGTATAGGAGGGTACTAGACTAAACAGGGGACCACTTTGTAAATTATATAAATGTCTAAGCACAATGCTATACACCTGAAACTAATATAAAATAATATTGAATGTCAATGTAATTGAAAATTTTTTTAAATAAAGGAAAATTAAGGAGCCTTCAACCAGTTCAATCTTCATTTATATTTAATATCAGTGTTTCTCTTATGAGCCCCATACTCAAGTAACTAATGAAAAAAGTTCACATACTCAAGTTCACAAGTAACTAACTAATGAAAAAAAAGCATTTTGTACTTTTGGGGGAAAAAAAAGAATTGTGAATGTGCTCAAATTAATAATCAGAGACTATAATTTAAAGGCACATTGCATTGCTACTATACACTCACTAAATTGGCTAAAACTAAAAAGAGTGAGAATGTCAAGTGTTGACATGGATTCCAAGAACTCTCATTTACTGATGGTAGGATTGTGAATTAGTATAACCACTTTGGAAAACTGTTTGGCATTAAGCTAGCGTATGCATACCCTATGAGCTAATATGTGCACTCCTAGAAATATAGCCAAATGAAACATAGATACATGTGCACAAAAAGACATGTCCAACAGTATTTATATTAGCATTATACAGAATAGTAAAAAATTGTAAACTACCCAACTGTATATCGGCAGTAGAAGAGATAGATAAATTGTTCAAAGAATGGAATATTATGCAGCAGTGAAAATGGACATGAACAAGCTAAACAAACTATAGCTATCTACATGAATGCAGATGAATTTCACAAACATATTAACCAAAAAAGCCAAAGGAAGATGGTGGAACAATATTAAAACGAGACTGAATAGACTCTGAAGTGAATAATATGGGTAGACAGAGACACTACTCAGTGATAAAAGAAATATTTCACAGGAAGATGTAATGATCATGAATATGCAACTAACACAATATAAAAAATGATATCACAGTTACTTGGACAATTGAGGAGGTCAATCATGTTAGAAACAATGCACTAGTTTGCATTTTACCAATACAGAAAGCCAACTCTGTATTATTTATGGATTTATTTTTACATGTTTAGTTATTAAATGTATAATAAAATCATGGACAGAAACTTAAAAACTTCAGGGTAGTAGTTGCCTCTGCAAAGGGAGATAAAAAGAGTAAGTTTGAGTAGGTGTTCAAAAGGAGGCTTTAATTTTATTTGAAATGTTTTAAGTTCAAAGAAGGATGTCTGATACAATATGATAAAGTAGTAACATTTTAAAATTCTAGATTTTGGGTACATGAATTTATATCAATTTCATTTTTCTGTATTTATTTTTCATTTTAAAACAGTAATGCTCATAAACTAGCAAAAACTAGTACAGATGAAAGGAAAACTTTCAAAATACAAGTATTGCAAACTAAGTGTTCTACAGATTCAGTAGAAAATATAAGAACATAGAAGAATTAAATAATACTATTAACAATCATATATACTTGTATAATAAATTTGTTTGCACATATGTGTACATACACAGAGATATTTAGATACATATATGTAATAGAACATTACATCTCTCAAATAGAGAATATACAGTCTCTGAATATAGAGTATGTGCAAAGTCAATCATGTATTTGGCAACAAAAGCAACACTTACAAATTTAAGTCAAAAAATAGCAAACTAGACAAAGGCTATATATAGACAATTTAGAGAAAAGCACATCCAGGTAGCAAATTCATGAAAAAATGTTAAGTTTACTAATAATTAGAGAAATACAAATTAAAGTAATAATGACATGCTACTTTTCACCCATAAGATCTTCCAGCATTTAAGAATAGGTAGATCTTAAAAACATAGTGCTGAGTGAAAAACTATACAAATCTATGACATACATGAGTTAGAAATATATGCATACAACAATCGTGTTTAAAGGACAAATACAACAGAAGAATACACATTAGACATTAGAATGGTTTGCTGGAGTGATGGGGGATAGAATTGGAAAATGGAGATAATGGAAATAAATGGAAAAAATGAATAAAATGAACAATAATACCTACTGCTTGATGGATGTAGATGAAAGGGAACCCTACAACACAGATGACAGAATAATGAAGTATTACAGAGTTCCTGGAAAACAATCTGACAACATATGTTAACATATCCTTGAAATGGTGGAATGCTTATCAATGGAAGAATGACTAAATAAATTATCCACACTGTGAAATATTGGATAGCTATTAAAGGTGAACTAAAATTATACTTGATGCTTTGAAGAATTTCATAAGCTATCAAATAAAACAAGATGTAGAAAAGTGAGAATAGAATGCTGCTATTTAAGGAAACAATGATTTCCTCTCATCTTTTAAATGTATGTGTGGGTATGTGTGTATCTGTATAAGCACAGAGAAAAATAAGAACATATACTAAGTTAGTATGAGGAATTAAACTAATGGAAGGGGGAAGGATAAGAGAGGGAAAGGCAGAGACAACCAAAAGAGGAAAAGAAAAAATATTCTACTAAAAAAACAAAAAAATCAAGTGAATGGCCACATTTATTCATTAATGTAAAATTGTGTATATGTAAGGGTATTTGCAGGCAGGAATTAAATAAGATTTACATGTATTTGTTTAAAATATGAGTTTCTCAGATAATTGGAATTTCAGGCCATGTATGAGATATGTTGGTCGTATAGGTCTTGGTTGTTGCTTGCTGTGATAACTCTACTTTATGCATATACACTAAGTTTATCTCTGTGATTTGGAATCTTTGTAGTTATAGTTCTTTCTCTAGTGATTTCCTTACCTGCATAATTTTTAAGAAAAATAATGAAAACAAGAATGATGGATTAACAGATAAAATTTGTCAATTAGTAGGTCCTAGTTTAATGTTTATTTAGGAATATGTGACTGAAATCTTATGTCTTAGGAATTAAAGAGACTGATTTAGAAAAAAATGCTTTTTTGGTCATTTAGAATGCGTTTTAGTAAATGAGGTATGCTGAGAAAAAAGTTAAAATCACCTCAGTTAAAAATCACTCTTCTAAGAGGAAGAGCAACTTTTTCATAACTGAACACAGACTAGGCTTTTGAATCTTATGAACCTTAATTTATAGATATTAATGTAAAATGTACATCCTCTTTATGAAAGGACTAGGTGTTAACAAACAGCATTAAACAAATATTAAGAATCAGTACTGGTACAGTATAATTTACTATATTATATTTTTATTTTAGATGCCTTTGGTGCTTCATGAAGAATATTTCCAGATATATCACAGACATTAAGCCTTTGCCTCCCAACATAAAAGATAGACTGATTAAAATAATGAGCCTGCAGGGGCAGATAACAGATTCAAATATAAGTGAGGTAAGAGTATGTACAACTAACTGTAAAGCAAGCATATTATATTTTACTGTTTGGGTATGGTTTCAGATTTCTAGAGCAATGGTATGTAGTACAATTAGTAATTATTTTAAAATATAATAAAGCATCAGCATTCTTTTTATCTTCTCATAATCAAAATGTTCATATGTAATAGCTCCTTAAAAATGTCCTGCTATGGATTCAGTTACTTTCCTTGTCTTTATAGTACCAGCACCATTGATCTCTGTGTTTTCAAACAGTCTTAAACTTTTTGATTAATTATACCTCAATAAAACTGGAAAAAATAAAAAGTAAAATGCAGTATGAATAAACAATTGGCCAAAAAAAAAAAAGACCCATAGTAAGAAATATATGTTACATCATGACTCTAGTACACAAAGCACACTCAGGTGTAACAACACAGCAGATCTTCGAATAACATCCTTCTGTTATAATGTTGATGAGATGCCATGGGAACTTAACTCTTGTTTGTATCAATTAGCCTGTGATAAAATTGGTTTTGTTATATGTCATATGTCGTTGGCTTAAAGTCACAGAACCTATTGATGATGTTAAGTGAGGACTCGCTATACTGTGTGCAGTATACTTGGATATTCTGTATTTTATTCTATTATGTCTTATTTTCTTTAAAAATGTCAATCGTAGCCTATTAAATTGATTTTATCCATTCTTGGATAACAACAGCAGTTAAAAATGACATCTTTAAACTCTTCTCATTCTTCTGGATTCCTCACACTTGCTAATTTGCAGTTATTCCCCTTTCCTACAACTAAGCTAAATTGGCTATTCTATAAGGCAGTAAATATAGTAAGGGCCTCCAACCTGAATTAAAATCCTACCTTTGCCACTCTTTCTGACATCAAGCCTCAGTTCTCTTACTGTAAAATGGATTTGTAGCCATCATCACTTTCTATAGAGACTAGAACTACAATAGTCCCTCCTTATCTGTAAGACATGTGGGTTCCCAGTAGATGCCTGAAACTGTGGCTAGCAATGAACCCTATATATACTATGTTATTTTCCTATATGTACATACCTTTTCACTTAAAGGAAGTACTTTACAGCTTCTCTCTGGCACACCTGAGTTGCCAGCTTCACTGCTTTTGTGCTTTGGGGCCATTATTAAGTAAAATAAGGACTGATGGTCAGTCTGATAACTGAGATGGCTTTTGAGTGGCTAATGGGGAGGTAGCATATACAGTGTGAATACAGTGGATGTGAATACTGGGATTCACATCCCAGGCAGGATGGAACAGGACAGTGTGAGATTTCATAATGTTACCCAGAACAGTGCACAATTTAAAACTTACCGAATTATTTCTGGCATTTTCCATTTTATATTTTTGGATCATGGTTGACCACAGGTACCAAAAACTGGTGAAACCACAGATAAAGGGGACTAGTGTACTAATTGTTGTCTTTACCACACATTCTGCCCAAAGCCTGTGATCAAAAGGAAGCAAACTCTGATGACAGCTCTCCAGCATATGACTATTCCTGTGACTTCACATTGTAATTGTGCTTCAGTGCGCCTTAGGGTTTCTTCTGCATTAACCTGATGCACCTTTAATGCTTTATTTTCTTCATGTTAGCTTGCATTTAAACATAGACATTTTAGTGTTGTAGTCTGCTTGACTCTATGGAGGTAGAATAATACTTTCAGGTTCTTATTGTTGATGGTTCTATGGATGTATATAATTTATGCACGACTTAACAGATGAAACATTACGACACTACAGAAAACATGAGTTTCCTCTTTCCTATCATCTCCATTTCATTCTATCCCTTTAGTTTATATTTTAGTGACTTAAATTTTTGTTTTATGGCAATCTTTAACATTTATTTAAACCTAATTTTACCTGAATAGAGATGGGCTTAAGGGGATGAATGAGATAGAAAAAACAAAAGTATAATTTTCCTCGGTGCTCTCCCTCCAATCTCCATCCTTACAAGAGTGCTGTTTATGAAACTATTTATAAAAGCCAAATCTAACATCTGTTGCAAAGTTGCACACCTCTTTGGATCGCTTTTTTTTGTAATATTTCCTAAATCTTTTTATAGTCTCTGGATGGTGAAGGCCTTTTTAAACATGACACTATGAAAGAAAAAAATAGCAAAGTGGAGTTGATACTCTCAAGAGAGCAATCTAAAATGGAGCCAGGAGGCCTCCAGGAAGCTGAGCCAACATACCCCCCCTACATATGAAATTGAACTTTTGAACTGGGCAAAACCACAAATGGCTGTATTCTGATATGGTTCTAGAAACAGGTTCTGCATCACTGAACTCTCCATTAAGAAATAAAATTGTCACTTAGCAATAGACTAAGCAATAATCATGTATAGCACAATGTAAGTTGGCTTGCTAGCACCAATCACAACTCTTTCAAAACAATTTGAGTAACCCGTTTACAAGCCCCCCTTTTTCTATTTTTATAAACTTTGTCTCTTTCTTTCCCCCTCAGAATACAGTTGAGTTTCTACTCAAATCTGTGTGTGCAGATTGCAGTTTCTAAAGACCCCAAATAAAGCTTCTGTTTGCTTTGCAGTTCTTGGTCAAAATTAATTGACATTACATGGTATCAGAGAAATGGGATCCAGAGTGACTTGCCTCCTTTTCCGGTGCCTCTGTTGATTTGATTAAGGTACCAACAAGAGTCCAATGCACTCTGTCATCTCCCTGGTGGCTTTTTTTGTCTATGGAACTTAAAATGCCTGTCTGGTGAGTAATTACTCTTGCAAAATAGAAAGCTCACTTTCTAAGGGAATGGCTGCTGAAAAGCTGCCTTCTAGAACTTGTGCTGGATCTGTGTATAAAAATTATAAGCCCTCTTCATCTTGCAAATTTCTGTCTTACTGGACCATAATTACCTAGGACAGTTTACAGTTAAACTGGTCAACTTGGAGCTCTTTTGAAATCCCTAATTCAGTCTCTCTGAACAGTCAGTTGAAAAAAGGCTACAAATAAGCAACCTTGTAGGAAGCGTATTTTAATTGGCGTTTTGAGGCCTCCAAACGTACAAGTGATTCAAAAGTTGCTTCATTCCACAGATTCTAAATTAACCAAAGCAAATTCCCAGTTATCTCAGAAGCTTGCTAAACTTGAGGAAACTTCTAATGTCTCCTTATCTACACCTCTCCACCTTTGCTGCTTGCCTTTCCTCTCCATCTTTATCCTTCACTCACTGAACTCCCCCCCCCTTTTTTTTTTTTTTAATAATGATGAACCTGAGGTTCCATTAGACACACCCTGCTCTTACCACCTCATTTAAAGTCAAGCCATCAGATAGGCCTGGCCCTGGATGAGAGCCTCTTATTTCTAATATCCCATGGACTAAAGCTGAGCTCTGTGCCATTACTAAATATTTTCCTAATCCCAAAGAGGACTTCATTGGGTTTGCTTAAGAATTTCTGCTCACTGTTCAAACATATGAGCCAGAGTTCTCTGACCTCTATCAGCTTATCCACATGCTTGTAGGAGAAGGACCAAAGTGGGATGGAAAACCCTATGAACAACTACTTTCAAGGACAAAAAGCCATGAACTCAGGTTCAAAGTTGTCTAAACAGCTTTATGAAAAGATACCTCAGGCTTTTCCTTGAGTTACTGATTGGAAGAAAACTTTAAAATGTATTCAAAAACCTGATGAAACTGTTTTTGATTACTTTGATAGATTTGAAAAGGTGTTTAAACAGTATTTCAGCCTAGATGAAGTCAGTGATGACACCTCAATGCTTTTTAATTCATTCTTTGTTAAGGGCCTACAAAACAAACTTGAACAACAGGTTAAAAAAATTACAACTTAATTGGGACACTATGCAAACTCATGACTTAGGAAACTATGCTCAGAAACTCTCCTGGGCTATATAAAAAGAAAACAGAAAGCTACACAGCCCTAAATGCCCAAATTTAGGCAACTGGAGTAATAAACCTACAATTATAACAATTGATGGCTAAATTCTCTTCTCAGGGTCCCCAAGGCAAACCACCATTTAAAGGTGTTTGTAGTTATTGCAAAAGGCCTGGGTATTAGAAAAAAGATTATTTAGAGCTCAAAAGGCAATTACAAGGCCAACAGCTCATAGAATTTGTGAATCCCCCTCAGGGAAATACCGCAGTTTTCTCAGCAATAGGGTTGCTCCGGGATTAAAAAGGGATTTTCCCCATGTTCCTAACTAATTTCTTAGGAAAAATTGATCTACTGAGAATGAGATAACTAGGTCTCTGATGGATATCAGAGCCACCGTACCACCTTATCAGTTCTTAACCCCGCCAGCCTCCATTTCTCTTCCTGAGAGTACTGAAACCATGCAAATGGTAAGAGTTTCCAATCGGCCCATGATTATCTCCAGATCCATTCCAATTCCTTTTCAATTTGGACCTTTTCAAGGAACCTACTGATTTCTTTTAGTTCTCTCTGTCTCTTTTCATCTCCTAGGATGAGACTTTCTTGAATTTCACAAAGCCTATATTTTCATCTTTCAGAAGGGGAAAATATGCTTACATCTTGAGCTTCTAATGACCTTCAAGAGGACTCATCTATGGACTCATTCATAACTATTCCAGTTTTTTCAGTTACCTTAAATGATCCAAACCTTCTTTTAGATTCCATTCCAAATGAACTTTAGTCGAAAAATGCCGTGGACATTGGTTGCATTCATTCCATACTAGCAATGAAAATTCAAATTGACAAAAATAAACCTTTGCCCAGCATCTATCTGTACCCTGTAATGCAGAGACCGTTCAAGGAATCAAACCTATCATTGAAGAATATCTCAAACAAGGCCTCATCTTTCCTTGCACAAGCCCTTGTAATACTTCTATCCAACCTGTTAAAAATATCTCCTGGGAGGAGATGGAGATTTGCTCAAGATCTAAGAGCCATAAATAATGTAATCATACCTAGGTACCCAACTGTGCCTAACCTTCATACCTTACTCTCAGCCATACCACTGAAAAGTAAATTCTGTTTGGTTACAGCTCTTT